TCAGACCAAGTACTGATTAAATGGATTGAATTGGAGTATTAAGTTATGGCAAAGCAGGGCTATCTGCCCAAAAAGGAGGGATGCCTTTTGTGAAGAACTTTCTAAGGGAAACTAGCTGGCATACACGTTACAATGAGAAAACCATGAAAAAGCCCATGCAACCAGCCGTTCGCCGGGATTCGAACTCCGGAGCGAACTACCAGTGTTCAGCGAGTTTACCACTTGGCTGTTTGTGGGCCTTTATGAAATGGAAGGCGATAACTTTATTTAAAACGAATATCAAAAATACCAAGATTTTTCGAAAAGTTGGATGCTTTTTAATATACTTGCAGAATGCCTGAAGAAAAAGAGCAAGACATTAAGTAGAAAAAAATAAATTTTTGCATAAAATTTAGTATTTTTTTTTAAATTTAAACTTTTTAATCTTATGATATTGATTCTAGCAATTTCAAAAATAAAATATTTGACTAAAATATGAATAACATTTTAAGAAACTAAGTGTAGCAAAAAATCTTGATAAAATTGTGTAAGGCAATGAGCACAATGTTACAGCTATTTAAAGCAATATATGCAAATCATTTCTAAGTTAAAATGTTGGTTATACATTTTTCTCATTTATATATCTTTTCTGAAAGGAACATTGAAAGGCGTGTTAACTGTGCTTTACTGTATTTAATATATTCAGTTTTCAGATGCATCGTAGTCTGAGAGACAAAGTATTCTTCCTAAAGAAACGCAATTCAAATAAATAAAATAAAATCCTGTAAAATTTATATTAATAAATATATTTTAAATGCTCAGTTCGAATGAATAAATAGAAAATTTGAAGAGACAATGCAACACAAGCAATTAAAATAAAAGTCTAAAAATTTAAAAATTACCTAAAATAATAACTGTGACCCCAAAACTATTTGAAAAAAAATCAACGATGCACCTTATATTTAAACTATGCAGTTCAAATGGGTAAATAGAAAATTTTAAAACAGGTATTCGAAAGAAACTACGCAACATAAACAATTAAAATGAAATTTGAAAAAGAAAAAATTACTTAAAATAATAACAATTATAATTAAAAATATAATATGAAGAACATTATTTTAAAGAAAGAACGTTGTGATTTTTTTCCTCTCACGGGAAAGGAAAATAGTTTGCCATACATTAAGAAGTTTGCCAAGTGAACGATTCTTGGCGCAAACTGAAAAAAAGTGCCACCATTAATTAATGAATTTCTCCATAATTTTTGCACCAAATTTTACAAAATTTCATATTTAGACATAATAGAATCATAGAATCGAAATATGGGAAAAAATTGGTATGTTATTTCAGAAAAAGTCCAGTTTCGTGTCAAAATAACTATCTTAGAATAGAGCTATATATAAATCTAATATATATCGTAAGTCGCGCTTTCGAGACATGGCGAACGCAATTTGAATTTCATCTGTCGGCCCAGTAGAACGGGAGATATAGAACTGTCTCCCCTTTTTTTTTACGCAGTGTACATTGTATTGACAAATATGAAGGAATGAGAGTGGAACATGCATTGCGGCTTTTATTTTGTTGCATCTTAGATTTATGAAAGATATTAGGTTTCTAAATATATTTTTATGCCTGGATTTTGAAATTTTGGCTACTATTTAATCTAAGTAGGTAAAAAATTTACTAAGACTGTAAGTAATCTTACACTTAAAAGTATCATATGCTTAATAAACTTCTTGCATTATGTCCATTTTAATAATAGCAAACTGTTGCAACATACTGGGTGTCCTCAAAATGACTGATGGATTTTTTAAATCAATAAAAAAAAAAAGACGGAATGTGATAGGTATGTATTGTTTGCAGCCTTATGCTTAGGAAATCAGGGAATTTTATCCCACCAAATTTCAACCACAGATGGCGCTGCAGGCGATCTGTAACAGGTATAGTTAAAACAACAAAGTATTTCAGCTTGCCATTCCATAGTTCGTCATCAAGCTGATAGCATGTGCTGTTGAGATTGCAATGTCCGCTCTACCAAAATGGATTTTTCCATTGAACAGTGGGTATTTATTGTGTTAGAGTTCCACCACCTGGGACAAAGTTTTGTTCAAACGAGGCGCAGTTTCCAAAGAAAATTTCATGTGAGAACAGGACCATCAGACAATGTGATAAGGACTCTGTTCCAAAAATTCAAGCGAACGGGGAGTGTGAATTATGACCGTATTGGAAATGTCGGCTGGCCAAGCCTTGCAGTTACAGAATCGAATGCTGAAGCTGTACAGCAGGTTGTAAAACAGCAGCCTTGGACTCCCGTACACTGTGTTGCATATTCTGCTGGGCTCGGAAGAATGAGCACTCACCATCTCATGCATGACAGCCTTCACATGTTCACGTACAAAATTCAGACTCACCAACCCCTCAGTCCAAATGCCAATAATGCATGCTATAATTTTGCAAACGCCATGCTGCAACTTGTGGATGATGGTGAACTCGATGTTTATGGTTCTCAGACGGAGTGTATTTTCCAGGGCTGTGGAGTCGATAGGGAAAATGACCGACTCCTGGAATTTTAATGACTCCAACTCCTTCATATATATGTTAACATATACACGTGGATAGTAATAGATGGTACAGAAAAAAATTGATACATAGCAAATTTTTTATATTAATTAGCATTTATTATGAAATGGAAAAACTGGCATTAGTAAGTTTTAAGAAACAATAAAACTTCAGAACTGAGAATAGTGTTTCCACACTGACTTGAGTAAGAAGAAGAGCTGTTACTATTATGGCTACTTCCTTTAACTTTTCAGGATAGATTTTTATAAGTTCTAAAAGAGGTGTCTTGCAAGAGCAATCATATTTATCTGTTTCTTGAAATGCTGTGTTTAAATCTTGTTTGTATTTTTTCATTTTTATATCTAAAGACTCTTGGTTCTTTATTTTCATTTGCTTTGCCTTAGCCTTTTCAATATTATCCAAATATTTCTCAAAATCTAATTCATCACTGGAAGAGGACGATAGAGACTCAGCTGCAGTTTGAATGTCCTGATTTGAATACTCTAGTTGATCTGAGAATAATTTCATTCTTATTGAAAGTTCATAGATGGCTTTCTTTGCCTTTTTAATTTGTTTGTCATCCAACAAAATTTGCTGTTTCGGATCTGTATATTGAACCCAGCACAATCTTATTGTCTAGCAAACTAGTTTCTCTTTTCTTCATTGAAAAAATGATTCCTTCTGCAATAAACCCTCCATTTCAGCAAGAATAAACATTGCATTCTTCCAGTCTTGCCTCTTGTTAATTCTTCAGATTGTAGCTTTTTGGTCGCTATTTACGGAGAAAGAAGAGTTTCCAATTCTGCAAGATCATTCCACTGTCTTTCTGTTAGTGAAACATTAGGGTTATCTACATCTAACATTCTCGTGCCCTGTTAATTCTTCAGACTGTATCTTTTATGTGGCTATATATGGTGTTGAAAGAAGGATTTCCGGTTCTGCAAGATCATTCCACAGTCTTTCTGTTAGTGAAATAATAGGGTTATTTACATCTTCTGAAAAAGTTCTTAATCCTAACAACGACTGTATCATCAAATATGTACTTCTCCATTGTGTTGCTCCTTTTCCTGCTTGCTTCCTAAGAATGGCATCAATTTTGGGAGTTCTTGCTGCTTACCTAAATTCACCAATGAGATTAGTAACTAAATAAATCAGTTTAATCAATAATGGCAAATATCACATCCATCCTGCTCCCTTATATTTATTTACTAATATGTCAATAAAATAGAAAATAACTATTTATTAATGCATGTAGTCTATAAATACAAATATTACCTCAGTTTGTCATTATTATTATTATTATTATTATTATTATTATTATTTTCAATTCACTTTAATTTCATTTCAAATTGTTCAACAAAAACTGGAGTTGGAGTCAACACGTTTTTTAGCGACTCCGACTTCTTTTACCCCAAAATCTGCCCGACTCCATGACTCCGACTCCACAGCCCTGGTATTTTCACCTCGATGGCTATGTCAACAAGCAGAACTTGGGAATTTGGGGAAGCGAAAATCCTCATATTTCTGAACCTTCTTATCTGCATTGACCAAAAATAATGGTATGGGCTGTGGTTTCCTCCAAAGGAATAATAGGGCCATTTTTTTCAAGAGCAACTAATAAATGCTGTATGATATCTTGGGATTCTGGAAGAATTTGTGGTGATTCATACTGCTTTGGAGTACCGTTCGAATGCCTCCTGGTTCATGCAAGATGGTGCTCATCCACATCGGACGTCTGCAGTATTTGATTTCTTGAACGAACATTTCAGTGAGCGGGTAATTGCCTTGGATTACGACATGCATACAGGAAGTGGCATGGCATTCCTTATTCGCCAGACTTGACACCCTGTGACTATTTTCTTTGGGAGTACCTGAAAGATGTGGTATACCGCCAAGCTCCACAAACAATTGCGGAGCTGAAGCAGCACATCTGTACTGCATGTGAGACAATTCCAAGTGACATGTTTGAACAGATGTCTTGAAATTTTTGCCTGAGACTGCACCACATTGTTGCAGCAAATGGAGGTTACATTGAAAATGTCTTTGTTTAGTTTTTTGCAACAGTCCATGCAAAATTTTCATACCGGTTTTTATTTTTTCATAGTTTTCAGTGCCACCTGTGGGTGAAAATGTTAACTAAATTTGAAATTTGGTGGGATAAAAGTCGCTGATTTCCTAAGCATAACAATATTATCCAAATATTTCTCAAATTCATTCCTAAGCATAATTTCCTAAGCAAACAATACATATCTATCACATTCCGTCTTTTTTTTTTTATTGATTTACAAAATTCATCACTCATTTTTGAGATACCTGGTAAAATGTTTCTTATTAATTTTCCAGTTTCACAGCAATTTCCAGCAATTAGGTATTAATGTCTTAAAAAAAGCTTTATGTGAATAATTGAAACAATAATTGTCATGAAGTGTAAAATTTAATGAGATCATTTCTCTCTTTTTTTAAAGGATGTGTCTAAAGAAGATGCTACAGCTCTGAAACTACCTGCACCAACAAGGTAAGTTTGTTAAACTTTTCTTTTTGCTTTGCCTTTTTTAACTCTTTGAAATCCAGACACTTCGCTAACCTGTATCCTCAAAATACTGAACCGCCCGAAATTCTTTTTCAGTTTCACAGCAATTTCCTCCCCTCGCCGTCCATTAACACAGAAAATAGATGTAAAAATTTCGAATAATATCCTTTGTACTTTCTAACAAAGATTCCATTAGCCTTTGACCCCGTTCTTTATAAAACTATTCTGAAGGTCAGACCAACAAGCCTTTCCGGCTTTGTTATGATCACGACTGAGATTTTGTTTATTTCTGTTATTTTTATGGGAAGGAATAAATTGATTAAAAATAAATATAATCCTTAAATTTTTAAACTGCACTTTTATGCTGTTTAAAGCTTAAAAGCACACTGTATCACAAAAGAATCAACAACGAATGTCATGAGCAACCAAAAGATAAGAAACCTCTTAGCTGTCTGCAGTAAACTGATACAATGTATTTGGAGAAACTACACCTGCTACTGCATGCCTTAGGGGGAGGGAAGAAAACAATATTACAATCTCGGCCGTTTTCGGGTGGTTCTGGTTGTTTCAATGTAGGGCCTTGTGGGGCGGTGGTTGTGAAAGAGTTAAAGGGTGCGTTTATATATATATATATCATAATTTTGAAGCACAGTCACAATGCCTGAGTGGTAGGGCGAAAGGAAGAGTTGATACCAAACTGGATTTAGCCAATTAAGATCTTTATTTGCAGATTTGCAGGCACACTAGACTAATTTCTTGTAGACAGTATACTCTTTAATCATAGCAATTACAATAATTTCTTATATGCACAGGTAAAAAGATGCAACGTTATTTCAGGCAGGGAAGCATAAGTGGCGCAGAGTTGGTTGAATGGCAGAAGTCAGGAAAAAAAGGGAAGCGTAGGGACTCAGTATTTATACTTGGTAGGTGCAAAAAGTATTTTAAGCTATGATTGGTCAATATTAGTTTTAGTTACCTTTTTCAAGCAGTATTATGCAATTTGGAATGATCTTGAATTTGGGAGAACAGATGAATTTAGGGAGAAGAGCACCAGATTTAGAATAATAATTTTGAGGTCGGCAATTATTTTTTTAAAGCAGTCGTATTTTGTTATATCTTACATATCCCCCCCTTCAAAAGAAATGTTCAGTGAGCAAGGTGGAAGAAAAAGCGTTAGAGCAGCAAAACGTGAAAGATATTTTGAAAATACAAAACATAATATTAACGTTTAAACAAAAAATTATTGTTGTAGAATTTTGACTGATATTTTGACTAAATTTGACATTTCACTGAAAGTTGTAAAATTTTGAATTCAATAATAATTTTAAACACCCAGTCTTTTAAAACAATTGCACATTTTTAGAGCCCTCAAGTTGTTAAAATGCTCAGTGAAAATTTTGTAAAGTTCTTGATGAAAATAGTTCGACAAAGCAAATGCTCAATTTTTTTTCACAAAGTAAATGTTCAAATAAAAGTCTTTCTAATTTTCCATTATAGTATAGATCGATCTGCAAAATTTGATGTGAAAATATAACACAGAATGTATGATTACTTGAGTAATTTCTTCTCATTGTAGATACACGTATTTACTACAACAGAAAATTTAATATAAAACACAATGGTATAATGTAATGCTAAATAGCAGAAGAATACTTTGAAAATTAATTGGCATGTCCTCTCTAACAAAATCAGTGTACCATCTTTCTGATGGTTGGGGGGTGTTTAAGTACATATCAAAATACCTCCATTCCTTAGAAGAGGTTACTGGTTTTTGACATTGTACAATTGTCAAAGTTTTTTTGTTTTCTTTCAAAAATCTTTCATATTACTTAAAATACAACATTATACAAAATTAAGACTGAAAACTGAAGACAAATAACTTGTGTAATCAAGTTAAAGTCTTTTTAAATTTTGCAAAAATCTTATTAAATTTACCTTACAATAAGAAGAAAGAAAGGGAAAATTGCATTTTAAAATTGTCCTAATCAGGAAATTTTTTTCGAGTTAAAATTACCATAATTTAATTTTTAGAATCTTCATAATTGTATTTTAGGGATTGGTCAATATTAGTTTTAGTTATGATAGGTCAATATTAGGAAGGCATTTTATAATATAAAAATTTTGTATGCATCATTCATAAACACAAGAAATTTCAAACTTTTCACTATTATTAAGACATTTAAAATTTACTTATTCTTTACTAAACCTGAAGATCCCACAACTTTCTCTAAATGCCACCTATTCCTTGATTTACACGGTACTCGATTTACGCGATTTTGGTTTTACATAGTTTAAAAATGAATGGATTTCAAAAACTTGGTAAAGATGTATATTCGGCTGCAGATGCGCAAATACATATATTTAAAGTTATTTTTGAATCTCATTCCTTGGTAACACTGGTGGCAACAACAAAGATGGGGATTCTCCGTGTTGTAAAAGGGGAATCCCCGTACTATGTTTATGTATTTCACAACAGTAAAGCTATTTGGTTCATGTGAACTAGTGCAGTATCATCATTTTAGGAGCAAAGCTTACATCATTTTTATCTACGCATTTGAATGTTTACTGGTAAGTTTTCAACATTTATATTCTTTATGATATTTTTATAATTTACGCAGTTTTTTTAAGGTTTTATAATGCCAAAAGATTTGAAAAAAATCAAATAAAAAGATCAAGTTATTTCTTTAGAAACAAGAATTAAAATATTAGATCGTCTACATAATTAGAGAAAGAGTAACATATGTTTTTAAATTTTACTACATGAATGAAGCCACAATAAGAACAATTAGAAAAAATGAAGACTCCATTAGAAAACGTGTAGCAGCTGGAACTTGCAGCAGTAAGAGCACAATTTCATATGTAAGAGATGATACAATGTAAAATATGGAAAAGGCATTAGTTATATGGATAGAAGGCCAAAATCGAAAACAGATTCCAATTGATACTAATGCTATTACAAATATGGCTTTAAAGTTTTATAAAAGCACTTAATAATCAGTCAACGTCTACTTCATCAGATGAAAAAAGGTATCTTTTCCCGCAAGTCGTTTTGGTTTGAAAAATTTAAACAAAGACATTCTTTGCATAATCTAAAATTGAAAGGAGAAAGTGCATCTGCTTATTCGGATGCAGCACAACAATATCCAGCAAAATTTGCTGAAATCATTGCCGCCAACTCCCACACTTCTGATCAGATCTTCAATGCTGAAGAGTCCAGGTTGTTCTGGAAAAATTGCCCGAAAGAACCTATTTAGGTAAAGCTTGCAAATCAGCCAGTGGTCATGAGATAGCGAAAAGTCGTATAACAATTCTTTTCTGTTGCAACGCTTCAGGCGATTATATAATGAAGGAATTGGTTATTAACAAAAAACACCACGCTCATTTAAAGGAAAACACATAAATAACCTTCCCATTTATTAGATGGCTAATAAGTAAGCATAGGTCACTGCCATAGCTTTCAATGAATGGTTTAATAACACATTTGTCCTAGATGTCAAAAATTATTTAAGCAAAAAGGGTTGCCTTTTAAGGCTCTTATATTGATGTCTTACTTTCGTTTTATGTAAATAAATAATTAAATTATGTACATTTAATGTGTTTTTAATTTTACGCGATTTTACATAGCAGAATCCAAAATTTCGATTCACATGGTTTTGTGCGGAACCTTGTAAATTGAGGGATAGGTGTACTAGCTTATCCATCATATTGGTTTATCATTTGAGAAAACTAGTGTTTGTTCTTCACCAGTGGCCAAAAGATTTGCCAAATTAGCAGTTGCTGTAGAAAAGGCCTCTATTCCTTGGATAGAGACAACTGGTTTTTTTCAAACTGCTGTATCATTTCATTATAAAATTTAAAAACACATACTATTTTATGAAAAATAAAAATACTTAGATTTAAAAAAAATGTATTTTGTTCATAAGTTTGAATTAACTTTAACGTTTATCTTGAAAACATTAAAGAAATACCTACAATTTAAAATTTCCAAATAATAATTTCATTTTTAAAATAAAGCAAAAATTCAAAAATATGAATTCAAAGAAATTTAAACAATAGTACAAAAATATTAGTTGTATTAGGAACCTTCTCTAAGTAAAATCCTCAAATTCTTTACCTAATTTTTATCAAATTCAGTACCTTTTTTTTAAATTAAAATGTACGAAACTACATTTTAAATATGTAGCGTATTCGGAAACTAAGTACCGTTTCATTCTAACGCCGTCGCAGCGCTGTGGTAGGCATCCCGCGCATGCTCACTAGTCTTTCTTATTCACTGACTTTCAATTGTCGCCATTTTGGTTGCTCTATGTTGCGTTTTCAGTTTGCTGTGCACATTCAAAATGTTTAAGACAATTAGTTCTCCCGCTGACTGTGAGATTCGTGCCGTGAATTAAATTTTTGAACGCGAGGAATGTGAAACCGGCCGAAATTTATCGTCAAGTGACAGAAGTTTACGGTGAATACGCGATAAGTGATGGAATGGTGAAAAAGTGGGTAAGCATGTTTAATTCAGATTTGCGAACAAATGTCCACGACGAGGCTCGGAGTGGTCGGCCTTCTGTTGTCACTGATGATTTGGTAAGGAAAGTTGATGAAGCAATTCATGAGAACAGACGCTTCACAATGACAACTCTGCCTACAAAAGGCCTTTCAGGTTTGTTCTAATCAGCAGGTCACTCTAGACAAGCAGCAGCAGTGACAACATTAAGTCTTTTGTTATGAATCATGCTGATTATGATCTTACTTCTCATTTTAAACTACGCCGTTTGACATAAAATATACATACTATTTACTAAACCGCTAGACTGACCAAGTATGTGACAAAATGAGGCATAAAAAAAATTAACATAAAGCTAACTGTTAATAAAACGTAAATGTCACTTATCTTCTTTAAAAAATGTCCAACTTTTATAAGTGTAAAATATTGTTACGAAATGTACAGGCGCCGTATGATGGCTTCCCCGCAAAGCAGTTTTAGGATTGCCATAAAATGGCAAGTGAAGGCAGGGTTGCTGCATTTGGCGAGACATTGCCCATTTGGTGACAATATTGGCGATATGCCATGGAAAGATGGAGAACCTTCTGGAACAAGTTCTTACCGGTTTAGCCCAGAATGTTCTTGAACGCTAGCCAAAAGCTATATAAACCCTGCTGGTCCGCAGTGTGAGTGTTTTGCCTAGCGAGCTGATAGAGTGCGAGTGAGTTAGTATCGAGTCAATCGAGTTGACAGCTGGGCAGCGAGTGCTGAATGGGTCGTCAAGTTCACCGAAAGAGTCTCTTAGTGTATTGCGGTTAGTGCATCATCGAGACGGCATGTTGAGCTCCAGGAACGACTGAACCGAAGAGTCGGGAGCAGTGCTCTGTGTGTCGTCGAGTGCATTGCGAGTTGTAGCAGTTGTAGCGTGGAGAGTCTAGAGAGTACGTGGAGTTCCGAGAATGACAAAGCAGATTTGGGAGCTGTACTCTGGTGCTTTGCAGTGAAGCTGTCTCCACCGTGATAACCTGAAGGCTGTGTCGCTGATCATGTCAGCGTGTTTATAGTAGATCTTCGACGACTGTAAAACGTGACTTTGGAGCTGTCCTGATCAGTATTGGCTAAATAAAGTGCGTTTCGATACTTCATCAAATGTCGTCATTATTCACTCCAAATCTACAAACCCCGCACGAACGGGAAGGAAGAAATTAACGTAACAACTGGTGTCAGAAAAGAAAATCGCAACAATATTTAATGTTACTTGATAAATTGCATAAAGTTAATTTTATTCTCAAACTTATTATAATAATTATTTTAATTCAGGTTTAGTAATAATGCATATTACTTAGGGATCTATTTTATTTTTAGGATGGTATTACAAAAGTGAAATTAAGGCATAGATAATATTTTTAATTGAATTTATTGAGTTCCCATTTGCTCATAGGTCCTTAATTTTTTTCATTAATATTCCTTAAAAGTACTTAATTTCTGTGTGCAGAAATGTGTACGAACCCTGGAGTAAAAGCGAGGACTCTTGTTCCGTTAGGGGGAGTTGTCATTAAATGCACAAATGGAAATATTGTTAAAATAAAGAAAAGAAATTCTGACTTCGGTTCAGTTTTAAGAGTGAGCTTGTAGCCATCGAAGAGGGACTAAACGCTGTTTTGTCCTTTACAGATCTTAAGGCAGTATGGTTTTTGTCTGACAGTCTAAGCACCATCCAATATCTTTCAAACTGGCGAAGAGTTGGTGATAGGGCCGGAATTGCAATTCTTAAGCAGGTCTTGTCACTCTGTGAAGTGCACCTTCTGTGGATTCCTTCCCATGTTGACATATGGTGGAATGAAATGGCAGACATTCTGGCAAAGGAGGGTTTTGAAGAACCATTACTAGTTACCAGTTCATTGACATATCTTGAACTGTATTCCATTAGACGACATACAGACAGGCAAATTTGGCTCATTCCTCCGAATCATCCCTGGTATCAAGCTGATTGTCCTGGAAGATCTCTTGCTATTGATTGCGATAGATGTGTTCAGACAACACTTTCCCGATTTTTCAGTAGACACTGGAAAGGATTTACTTTTGAGAGAGGTCTGAAGATGCACCCAATTTGTTCTAAATGTCAAAATGCACCAGCATCACCGCTACATATCCTTGAGTGCCTGGAGTTGTCTCTTGAGGAACTTTACAAAGTCTCCTAAGCTTGTTTTCGATTTTCTGAAGTTGAATGGACTCGTGGACCTAGTCTAGTATATTCCTAGACATGGAGATTAGTAACAACAACATTAGTTTAGTTCAAATGCATAGTAATGGATAGAGGCTTGTAAGAGTGATTCTTAAATTTGTTGCTAATATAAAGCTTACAAAAAGGTTAAATAGTCATAATGCAGAAAAGCTAGAAATTAGTTCAAGTTAAATAAATGTATTTCATATCAGTGCCATGTTCCATACCTTTTAAAATGACTAAATGGAGGAAGAATTAGCCCAAAGAACATATAATTAAAAAAATTTTTTAGAGTAATTGCCTATGCAAATTAATGTTATTAAAAACTGAATGCAAATGAAATTTAGTATATTTATTAAACATTAATTATAAGATACTGGTGGTATGCATTTGAAGTAGTGCAAGAATAAAATCATTTTATTTATTACACTAACAGAAATTCTGAATTTTTGCCTGAAAATATTTACATAAAGTAGGCATTTTATTGAATGTTTGTAAATGTCCTGTTTGGATGAGAAAATGTTTGTTTGGTATACAATATTTGTTTGGAATGTGACTCAAGTGTAATGATTCATCACTGCACCCACTACCCTTGTTTACATTTTTCGAGACAATGCTATGACAATTTTGCACGAGATTGTGATAGTAAATGTATGGGTAATCCATAATATCAAGCCTGTTTTCTTAATTTATTTGCATAATTTGTGCATGTAAATTGTCAATATAAAATGTTTTAATTTAATTAAGATTTTTTATAACATTTATAAATGCTTATTGTTTTCAAAGCAAAACTTTGGTTTCTAGTCTGTAAATTATTTTGTTTCTGATAAAATTACTTGCTTTGGTCTAGATTACAGTATTTATTCATTTGCATTGTTTGTTATGCATAACAAATTTCATAAAAATAATTGATGCACTTTAAATTGTTCTTTATACTACTGTTTCAATTTTTTGTTTCACTCCATTTCTCTCTACTGTTTAATTATGATTGAATTTGGGCAAGGTGCCTTTTACATTCCAGCCTGTAGGGATTGGACCAACGGATGCACATATTGATTTAATTTAATTTAAATTTTTCTGATTTAATATTAATTTTGTATATTTGTGCATTTGTCAGTTTAGAAATAGGCCTTCTTGTACTTCTCTCTTAATACCAACTCCCTGATAAGGATGTGCTGGGAGATGTAAAATCCATTTGCCTTTATTATTTTTTAGCATTTTTTCCTGCAATGTTTATATGGATTTTGTTTTTACGCAATGTTAGAGTGTTTTTAGATTTTGGAAAAATTATCATTTACTAGTTATTTTTATAATAGCTTTTTGCCTTTGTTAAAATTATTTTTGTACAAATTCCAGTGATGAATTTGATATGTTTTTAGTTTAATAAATATAGCCATAGGAGTATACATTACAGCTTATGATGCATATTATGGTTTTGAACTTAATCCTTTTTTTTAAAAATTACCTAATTTGTCCTTTTCTAAATTATATATGTATAAAGAGATAAATGTATCACTATTTGAGTAATCATTGTCATTTATCTTCTTGTAATGTTGTTTATAAAAAGGTAGTTTTTTTAATATCTTTTCTCCATAGTTTATGTTTTTATTTTCTTAATGAAGTAATGACTCGTAGAATTTGGCATAAGTATTATAAAAATGCTATAAAAATATTTCATTCTTATTAAATGTATAATCACTGTAATTTTTTTATTTAATGGCACAGTTGGAAAAAAAATTTATTTTCATTTCAGTGAGTATTCATCATCTCCTGAAAGAAATGAAACCAGCAGTGCTGCTTTAGAAATAGTTGAGAAAAAGGCTTCAACACCTTTACGTCAGTCCTCCTCAAGAAGAACAAAAAGTCGAAGCCCCAGAAATAAATCTACTTCTTCACAAAGTCGGAAACGGTCTTCTCGTAGCAGTTCAAAATCTTCTGGCATCCACTCTACAAAAAAGAAAAGAATGTCCAAATCTCCAGAACGACGAGAAGGAGCTTCTAGAAGAACAAGATCATCTACAGAACGGAAATCAAAATCTCCATCCCATAGGACACGATCCGTTTCGCGACGACGAAGGTCGTCAGCACTTTGTCGTTCTAAATCTCGTTCAAGGTCAAAGTCAGGTAGGCGATCATCATCCCCTAGAAGTAGAACACGACGTCGTTACAGTAGGTCTCCTGATGTTCGTGCTCGGAGGTCCAGATCGCGTAATTGGAATGACAGAGGTTCACGGTTTTACCGGTACTCAGGCATGAGAAATCGCAGCCCTGATCGGAGAGGGTCTTATACTAGACGCTACACTAAAAGTCCTAGCTATAGGGGAAGAGCAAGAGGGAGGAGTGCACCTCGTCATTCTCGCAGTCGTTCACGTTCTTTGGCCAGAAGACGACGTCGAACTAGACATTCTAGCAGCAGCTCTGCTAGTAGTTCAAGTAGGAACTCTTCAAGTTCAGGAAGTGAGGGAGCAAAGAAAAGGGGTGCCAGAAGAGGAATCAAAGGGAGAAGCAAAAGATCATCATCATCAAGTAGTAGCTCCAGATCGAAGAGGTCTAATTCTCGTTCGGATAGTGCTTCAACCTGAACGTAGCCACGTAAATAAATGAGCTGAAAAAAAGAAATCAATTTCTCTTCACTTGTGAATTGTCATTTCATAAAATAACAATATCACCTTTTTCCGATGTCATGCAAAACATTTTGGTCATTTATACTGCCAGTTTTTACCTTGAAACTTACTTGATTCAGAACACATTTATTTTACAGTCTCATAGTGTCATGTAACACAAGAGTATCTGCAATTTTTCATTTGATTAGTATGGTTTAATTATGCTAAAATGCAGTTTTTTTTTTTTTAAATAGTGTTTGTAAATTAATTTATATAACTCATGTACAACAATGTTATGACTGCTGCACTTGTTGCTTCAGTTTGCACTTAAAAGTGTATTGCAACCAAAATGCTCAAAAGAAAAAAGTTATTAAATTTCAATCCATATATAACTATTGTAACAGTTACGTAATTACTCTGTGTTTCAAGATTTCAAATTAAAATGCACAAACTGCAATATCTAAATTCTATTCCTTTTTTTTTTTTTTTCTGAATATTAGAGTTAAAATTTCTGATTATTTTAACTGTTAGTACTGGTTTTTTTTTTTTTTTTTATTTTTTTTTTTTCTTGTTCTTTCAAACTACCATCTTTACCTGCATAGTCCCCCTCTAATTTTTATATGATTTAGAAGCTTCTAATTCCTGATAATAATATTAAAATATGGACTAATAGCAAAGTACATTGTGTATGAAGAAAATGGGACATGCCAGTAAATGTGGTATTAGCATTTTTTAGAAGTGTTCTTTTCAGCTGCTTCAATTTTAAAAATATATTAATTCAAAAACTAAATTCAGCAAATCCTCCAAAAACGTTGCGGTGCAATTGTCTTCAGTGAACATGCATCTGACGTGAAACTGAATATAAGTAGCAGGTATCCTAATTTTTCATCATTTGAAGTAATTATTGAATGCGAATACAGTTATAATAAAATACCAAAACTGTCTTCTGTAAGAAAATGGTATTTTTGTCTAGAACCCAGCCTTAAAAATAATGATTTTGCTTCTTTTGTTATTTATTTGCATTGAATTGTTATAGATAATATAAATACCATTTTACTTGTATTTATAATTATGATTGATATAAATGTTGGGAAAAGGTTCATACTAAAAAATCAGTTATTTTTCTGTCGTAGAATCTTATTATTCTGATTAATAATTTCAATGCATTTAACTAATACATTTCTTTGATGCAATCCAATACTAGTATTTTTAAAAGACAGTGGGAAATTTATCAACATGCAGTACTATGTCTGACTGCTGTATTAAAATGGGAATAAAAAATTTTTAATCTGTTAAAGTGAGATCAAATAGGATATCATGTATGTTGAAATTCTATAAATATTTTCATTATTTTCAACTTACTCAATAAGAGTATTTGGTTTTGTCAGATTTTTAATGACTAAATATGCTACTTGATGGACTAAAGGTTTAAATGTGCTGTGGTATGAAGTTACCTTAAGTGTTTATGATGTAAAGAATAATAAAAAAGTTTAAATATGTCTTTAAGATTTGTATGTTTATGTGTCGTCAAGAACATTAGTAGTGCTACAAAATTATTATTATTCATTAGGTGGACTGGCCTCTGCCTCCTTGAACAAAGTTCTGATGGGTATAATAATTGCTAGTTTGGGAAAAATGTTTTTATAAATATTGAAGAATATATTGGACTTATATGTGTGTGTTTGTGTATAAGATAAAAGATAGATAAATTAGCAACAGCCCCTAATTCTTAATTTTAAATTGCATATCTCCCCTCTTCATAAAATAGTAATTGCTTATGATAACTTTTTCTGAGTTGTATCATTTCTAGATTAATCCATATCATATAAATTTTACATAATGCTCGTTAGTACTTTCTTCTTACTGCAAAGATTTCAAGAATGTGAATGCTATGTTCTGGAATGCGCAATATTAATGTGCTATAAAATGCGTAAATAAAGTAAAATAAGTATTATTTAAATCTGCTATGACCGCCTCTTATTAGATCTGTTTGTATGCAGTTATGCTTCAAGCTTCAATATCTTGTCTGTAACATTTTTCAAATCACCATATATACATGTGTGTATGTATGTGTAAGATAAAAAATATAAAACCAAAATTATTAACTTTAATTTACTAAATATCCCTCCGAGAATCTAAACTGCATCACTTAAAAATCTAACCGGATGATGTCAGCTGCATTGCCGTAAGATCATGTCCACTTGCTGTTGCTGAAATGCACACTCACTTACATATTCTTTCTTGCCCAGCTGGTGCATGTCATTGCTTTATTATATCACCTATTATTGTCTAGAAATGTGGTACGTGTGTATAAATTTGTGGGGTGCTTTCTGCATCCATAGTGATGTGAAAAAGAGAATGAAAGTACTAAGAAAGTGTATTAAGAAGTACTGAAGAGTGTACTAAGAAATTATTCTTCAAGAAAATTTAATTATGTGGCGAATATCCAGCTATTTGCAGTTTTCTGGATTCTATCCATCTATTATGCATCCTAATTGTATGCCAGCTACATCTATAACAATCTTGACCATATTCAAGAAAAAACTGGTATCATCATCTACAAAATTATTACATATACTACAGTCAAAAGTCGTTAATCCGGACTCGTCGGGACTTCGACGATTCTGGATTATAGATCATCAGTTTAAATCTGATAAGATGGCATGCAGAAATTATAAAATTTAAAATATGAAACCGTAATTTATGAAATAAAGAACAATTATGATCTAAAGGGTATAAAAATTTACACACACACAAAAAAAAAAAGCTTAATATTTATTTGTTTACTTTATTAAACATTTCTTTCAATGTAAGTTGTTTAAGTTGCTTCGTTTTTTATGTGATAATACATTCTCTTTAATTCTATAAACATACATAATTTCTTGTTCAGTTACAAAGTTCCGCTGTTCAAGTCCTATAATTGCTGTGTCGAGAATACCGACTAATTTGTCAATCGAAATTTTTTCGTTTTCAATAACCTCTGTTACTTTCTTCGCTATCGGAAGCGAATTATAATGACGAGGAATTTGATTTAAATCATATCAAAGACGGAGTACATCGAGATGAAATACTACATTTAGTAAGGAATTATAAGCCAAATAAAAATAAAAACATCTGCCCTGAAGATAAGGATAGTGCTGACAGATCAACTTCCAATTCATAGCGCGCACGGCGTTAAAGATAAACAAAGGATATGCCTTTATCCATTTTTTGAAGCAATTCTACTTTTTGTTTAATGGACTTCAAAACATACTTTCGCTTTGTAGATCCTTTACATGTTAGTAAATATATATCAGAAATTCTATTTGACATAATCGAAAGTTCAAGCTTACTTTTATAAAATTGCTCTAACAGTCTGCAAAAAATAATAAGCCGAATCCAGTTCGAAGATTAAGGAACAACGCAATCTGCAACATTAGCTGAATTAGATAATTTTAGCTTAGCTTATACCGTCCGTTATACATTAAACGCGCATTTGTAAACGTATTTTCCGCATGCGCACACGCATATTCGCAGCCGTTGACGCATGCGCAGAAAGTTTGTAGTTTTGAGGTCCGGATTATGGGTGTCCGAATTAACGACTTTTGACTGTATATGTATTCTAATTGCTGAATAGTGTGATTTTATTAAGCATCCAGTAGTTTAAATTACAGCTCAAAACTTCATGTTGAACAAGTGAAAAGAGCTTCCAATATAATACTAGAAGTATAATATATAATAATTAAATTTGCATTTAATTTCAGAACAGAGAATTGCAGAAAAATGTCAATTGTGTGGTCTCACTCCTAAGTCCCCTGTCAAGATTCATGTTGACTTTTTACAGAATTCCTGATTCCAGACTGAAGTGGCTGGTCAATTTTGTTGGACTGTGTCTGCATAATACCTTGCTGTGCAAATGGGGTGTTCATTTCACTTCTGCCTGTTCTTGGCTCTCCTGAATGTTTTTAGAAATTGTCTGCAACTAAGCAAGGCATCACAAGCTTTATGTTGACCTGATGTATTGTTAACCAGTTTGGTGGGTCTCACTTGCAAATCATTCTCGAAATTTCTTATGGTTTGGAATGGTTTATTCGATTATGGCAAATCGCACTAGGGCTTTGCCATAATCGAATTTAGAGACTAAGATTGATGACTTCATGGAAAACTTTCTAGGAGAAAGTACCTCATATCCATTTAACACATGGAAAGAACACCCTTGTAGCCAGCCTGTTCGCCTGGAATTGAATCCAAACCGAACTACCAGTGTTCAGTGACTTTACTGCTTGGCTGCTGGTGGGTGGAAATGTTTTATGCACTGGCAGTCAGTGAACAATACACTTTCATCGAACTGGCAATCACTCTTCATTGCTCTAGTATATCTGTCACCCATTATGTGAATCTGCATGCAAGAAGGAAAATAATTCATTAACATAATTTTTACTCACTCTGTATATCATAGTATCAGTAATAAGATTGCAAATGGAAGAGGCTTGGAGGCACAAGAAGAATACTATTAACTAACTTCTCATGAGAAAGTCACATCATTTTAAATCTGAAGACTGGTCTGGCCACGTTTTTCATTTCCCCATCTTGTGTGTCCTATCCACTTGAAGTGCAAATTTTGAATGAAGCATTCCCACAAATGGTGTGTGTTTTGTAGAAATTTTGATTGATATGCTGTTACAAATATTGCTAACATAGTCTCATAATAGTGAGTGGGACAGCTGTCTTATTGAAAGAGATATTCATCACTCACCACATTTTCATTCAATTGTCGCAATAAGTAGGCTTCTAATATGTTTCAATAAATCCTTCCAGTGGTATATGGGTACCTACTGTATCAGTATGTGGATGTAGAGAGCTTAATGAATTTATCTGTTTCAGTGAAATAAAATTTGGAATAAACTGCATAGTTTATTTGTATGAATTTTTTAAAGGTTCAACAAATTTGTAAATAATCCTTTTATTAGAAAAAAGTACAGTTTCCTTTGAATGATTTCTAAATGATATAAATAAGTTCTGAAAATATGTGAAAGTTGCTGTGCAGGAAACAATACAACTTTTAAATAGTGTGCTTAAAGTGTGTAAACTTGAAGGATTAAAGTAGTCTGCAAAAAGGTAGGACATTTAACAAGTAATATCATCGAAAAATAAAACTATAATTATTATGTACTGAACATTTATTAACTTAATCTAAAAGTATTATTTAAGAAATTTTTAAAATATATTTAATCTCTCTCTTATCTTAATGCTGTGGTATATGATGTTTGATAATTATATAATTAAAGGGAAAAGTTTTGGTTAAACAATCTTAGTGTACGTGACAGTAGTAAAACATTTGTGTTTTACAATAAACTTACTTTATTTATAAAAATAATAAACTTTTAGTCCTAAGAATATCAAAATTTTTAAGTATTCATAGCAAAATGTTGTACTGTCATTTTAATAATTAAATATGTAGGTTTGGTTTGGTTTATTTAGGCTGTTGCAAAGCACATGAAGACTAGGAGAAACTGGCTCGTAGCCGTGTCAAACATGCGCAAAACAACGAAAATGTTATACACCAAGACTGGTGGTCTGGAACTGAACTCTCACTGTTCAGCAACTTTACCACTGATGGGCTAAATACAGAAAAATCCGGATTAGCGGAAGGTAATGTGGATTGAGACCACTTTAGATAATTGAAAAACCAGATGGTAGAGATTTAATAACTATCCTTTTAAATTTGTAAAAGGCAAAACTGCTAGTCACATTTGGTAAGTAGATCTATCATAACCTTCCCGTCACCATTCCTAAATATTAAGCATTCCTTAGCAAGTCACTTGGTTTTTGTTCATTTCAGTCATTCCCAATCATATGCTTCAGTCATATTTTTCCCATCAGGAACGTTTAATTTTTATCTTCGTAATGATTCTTTGCTAATCCTAGATAATCATTATTTGTTTCATCTGTGATTGAGTATGTCAAATTTTTTGAGGTCATAGGAAGCATAGATTTCTTCATCGATTCGACTGCTATTTCAACTTTGCTTCAAAGTCTAATCGGCATTTCGTCAGATCTTTGGAGACTTAAATCTTTCACCTTTATCAACCAATATTCGTCAGTAGCCCGCATCAAGCAATAAGGAACCCATCCAGCACAAATTTTTCTTTTCTATGATTCTCAAAATAGGACATTTTGACGCTGGTAAAATTGTTGTAGCTTGAAATGTTTCTTTGTATGGGGCTCCTTTCCAACCCTTTGCAAGTATCACGATTCCCTTGTCTGTTGATATTTATATCTTCCTGGCCGTTGGTCATTTTGTACGTATGATAAGTCCTTCACGAAAGCGAGTAACGCAGCGAAAGATTTTACTTTGACCCATTTCTTGGCTACTAAAAACATCATACAATACACTGTAAATGGTCATGTACACTTTCAATTTTGATCTATGAACTTACTTATCTACAACCCGAGTATTCCAGACATTTGCAGGCTCAAACACTCATCAGTTCAAAATACTATACTAGAGACCTCAAATGG